GCGTTGGACATCGGCTTCTCGAACTGGAGTTTTGAGTTCATCACCATCTCCTTGTATACGATGACTAAGTCTTCGTGTATTGTATTTATTCTAATGTTTGCCATACTTTTCGATCTCGAGAAGAAGGTATGACTGCTGCAGAGTGTATATGAAAATAGTCTTATTATATGTTTGTATTGAACAGAGGTTTTCACTGATAATTGTGGTCTCATTGATATCGAGCGGACTCTTTATGTTTACCTATCATTCAACTCAGTTTCAAATACAGGGTTTCCTATTAGTATTGAGCGCATCCTTATTAGGTAAGCACTCGAACGGGTGATCCCTTGTACCGGTAGTAGTAGTCTATTAACCAGAAGTTTGTGTCCATTATAGGAGGTCTTCGGTGGACACTATCGCAGCTCGTAATGCAGCGCAAAGAAGTCGGTATGATATGTGATATTTGTTTTATTTGTTGCTTAGTATCTGTTAAGTGCTTTGAAATTAATTTTTAAATGAAAGTTACAATAATCTAGTTATACATTCACATAATTGATAAATATATTACAGTCAGTATGGCACACATAATGTTCAGTGAGTTGTATCGACCACTCAATTAATTTAAGGAAACTAATTATTTTTGAATTCAGTTCAGTGTCAGTAGTAATGTGTCTGATGTTTATGATTTTTTTAGTTCATTCGTATATGTACTGTAGTATAACATTGAATTTATGAAAGTTAAAATACTTTATATCAACACAATTATATCTAACGTTTGATGATTTTGTCAAACTTTATTAATGAGTAATTAATCAATGTAATTACTGGAATTGATTAACACACTAAATATGATTCTAATAAAATAACTTTTATTAAAAATTTGAACATATATTTATAGATTTTTTATAGAATAATCAAAACTCTAGATACAAATTGTGATATTGTAAATTTAATTTATACAGTGATTGATTCAATGAATTCTGCTGATTATATTTGTGTCCATAGGATTAAGCAATCCATTGGATATGATGTATCACATCCAGCCCTGGATGCTTTTGGGTAATACTAATATCATATTTTGATTGCTTATAAGAATGCATTTTTACACAATTGTTAACTAAACCATTAACTATTAACAGGTTTAATACCATTAGCCATAATGTTTGAAGGCATACCTTTCAGTCAAAGCAAAGTGACAATTAGTCAAATTCTAAGCGATTCTGAGCTTTTATGGCAAACACTTAGTCTAATAATGATTGGCTCAGTACTGGCTTTCTTCATGGAATTCAGCGAATTCTTGCTTTTGACGTATACTTCAAGTCTTACCCTTTCGATTGCAGGCATTTTCAAAGAGGTGTTCACTCTATACCTCGCCGTCAACTATAACGGCGACCAAATGAGTCGAATCAACTTCATTGGACTCATTGTTTGTTTATTGGGAATTGCATTACATGTAGTCATCAAAGCCTTGGACACAACGGGTAAGGTATGACTCGCACCCTCTGGTTATCTCTTCATTTAATTCAATTTGTTTTCAATCGATAGTCAAACACAGTGTTATGGAAAGAGAAGTCTCAAAGTCTGGAGGAATTGAATCCAAAAGACTATTGGAGGGCATCGATGAAGACGTCTTATTTGATTTGAAGCCAATTGGGGCCAAAATATATTGAATTATCATTTCTAGTCTATTATATAATTATTCTTATGATTCCGTTCTTTGGTTACAAAGTTTTGACACAATTCTCGAAATAGTGATTATTTGTATGATTTTATTGTTTTTAAAATTTGTATTTTAATAATAATTTGGGAATCGTATGATTTGTCTATAATAATGGACTCAAACATTGTTTAAATGCCAACAAAAAATTCCATATACAGTACAGTAATTGTATATACATTGACAACAAATATATAATGTTTAGAAACTATGAACAGAAAATCGTATACAAAGTTTATTTTAATTAATGACAATATTTTAATAAAAATACATTTTTTCATTTGTTGCCCTTTTGTTTGTATTGATATTTTTAGTCAATTGTTTGTATAATAAAATGCTATTTCATATACAGTAACGTGTTATCTGAGATGAAATGATCAAACTTCAACTAAAGGGGTAATGGAACCTGATGATTTGAAATATACCATAATATTCTATATTAAATTCTAAACACATTTAGCTAGTTAAATTAGACGAATGGATATATACACTATTAGAAAAAGAATATTCTTTATAACTAGGAATGAAAAAAAAGTGGGCCTATAATGTGTATTTATGTGTATTTATATGTATTTATGGGTACGTACTGAATGAAAGAAAATTGTATTAATAGTTTGCAAATAATCTATTAGTAATAATTTTTGTTTGTAAAAAATCTCATCAAGTGAGTTTAATTTATTTTATTTTATTCAAATATTCATTATTATTGATTCAAAATGAACACAAGCTTAGCAAATAATATGACACATACTGTAGTTTTAGATAAAATATTTAAGTTTATTATTCAGAGATTGTTATGCCTTAAAGAAAGCTTATCAAGTTAAATGAATGAGGTATGAGTATATCAAATAAAA